CCCCCGAGTACTTCTCTTACTAAAGTTCAAAAGGGTCCATATTATTCTGGTATAAAAATCTACAATCATCTGCCTAAAGAGCTGAAACAATTATCTAATAACCAGAAATCCTTTGAAAGTTCCCTAAAAAGATTTTTACATGCTAACTCTTTTTATACATTAAATGAGTATTTTAATTACAAAGGCACATAAATTTGAATGCTTAACGCCACATTTTAATATAGTTGGTAAGGGAGATGTGAGAAGTTGTATTGTGGTTACTTGTGACTTATGCCTGTTTAATCTCTTTGCCTTGTATTGCTGTATGTGCTGGATAATTAATGTGGGTGATCTTCACAGTGTGACTTGTGTGACTTGGTGTGTTTGATGACTAATTCCACATCCTGGGTTTGTTCCCTATATGGATGTTTATGGAAAGTGGAGGATGTGTATGTATGTATATGACGAGTCCTGTATCAATGTATTTTGATTTATGGGAAAATTGTATTAATTTTAAGTTTTTATAGTAATGCACTTTTTAAATTATGTTTAGTTACAATTGTAATAAGCTCGTTTTTTTATATTGCCTATGTTAGTTAACTGGCATGTGTTATTTTAGTTGTGTGACTTATGTAATCTATTACATGTATACATCTATAATCAAATGGACTATTTCCACATCCTAGGATTTTTGCCTGTATGGATATATGGAAAATAAAGGAAATGAATGAATGATCGAATCTAATTGTAAAAAAATTAGCTCTATCAATATAGCAATCCAGAGAAATATGTTTGGACAACTATCTAAAATTACAGAAACATTATTTTGTAATATACAGGCATACCTCGGAGATATTGCAGATTCAGTTCCAGATCGCCATAATAAAGCGAGCCACACAGGCTTTTTGGTTTCCTAGTGCACATAAAAATTATGTTTACACTATACTGTAGTTTATTATGTGTGCAATAGCATTTTGTCTAAAAACAATGGACATACCTTAATTAAAAAGTATTTTATTGCTAAAAAATGCTAACCATCATCTGAACTTTTAGCAAGTTGTAATCATTTTGCTTATGGAGGGTCATGCCTTGATGTTGATGGCTGCTGAAGGTTTGGGTAGCTGTGGCAATTTCTTAAACAAAGACAGTAATGAAGTTTACTGAATTAACTGATTCTTCCTTTCATGAAAAAGTTCTCTGTTGCATGCAATGCTGTTTGATAGCATTTTACCCACAACAGAACTTCTTTCAAAACTGGGGTCAGTGCTCTCAAACCATGCTGCTGCTTTATCAAAAAAGTTCATGTAATGTCCAAAATCCTTTGTTATCACTTCAATAATGTTCATCATCACCAGGAGCAGTTTCCATCTCAAGAAACCACTTTCTTTTCTCATCCAAAAGAAGCAACTCCTTATCAAATGAAGTTTTATCATGAGATTGCAGCAATTTAGTCACATCTTCAGGCTCCACTTCGAATTCTAGTTCTCTTGCTATTTCCACCACATCTGCAGTTATTTCCTCCACTGAAATATTGTACCTCTCAACGTCATCCACGATAGTTGGAATCAACTTCTTCCAAACTCCTATTAATTTTGATATTTTGACCTACTCCAATGAATCATAAATGTTCTTAATAGCATCTAGAATGGTCAACTTTCCAGAAGGATTTTAATTTATTTTGCCCAGCTCCATCAGAGCTCTATGAGAGGTATAGCCTTATGAAATGTATTTCTTAAATAAAGCTGAAATTACTACAAATCCTTGTAAAAAAACACAATATCTGCAAAGCACAATAAAACAAAGCGCAACAAAAAAAGTATGCCTGTATGTAAGAAGTCAACTTGAGAATGATAACTGAAATATGAATATTAATTCACTTTCAGATATACCTGGTTTACATGACGATAAGCTCCAAATTGCTTGCGAACCAACTTCCCGAACCTTGCCAGTTCGTTCTTCACGGACTGGATCAACAGGTTCTACAGCCGTCTTTGTGGTCATCATAGGAAGAAAATATATATTTTTATCTGTAAACAGAAAACGTGCAAACAGGTGAAGTACATTTACTTATGTGCCTATGAACAGTGTCCTGCCAATCTTAGTGCTACAGGAAATGTAAGTGCCAAGCTGTTTCATAAAAATTAGTAACACTTACAAGGAAATAATGTGTCCATGACAACTATAGTGGAGATTCATTTCTATTTACTTATAGTTCACTTAATGTGGCACTGTGAGCAGCTCAGATTATATCTCACTAATACAGTGTTTAGAGGCCTAACATGACCTGTCTCGCTTCTCTAGCAAATAAATGGTTAAGATGAAAAGGTAAAAAATCGAAGCATTCTTAGATCTTGACATTATACTGTGGTGGCTGGCTTTTTGTTTCAGCTGCCTTCAACTCTGAGGACAGCATTCACTTTAGAAGAGGAGCTAAGCAGGCTCCTGAAATTCTCTGGATATTTTGGAAAGAACGTTTCACAACAGCAACACACAAAAAACACAGAATGGCTCAGTATGATGTATTTATTCATGAAATGTGTGGTTCTGCTTTGAAAACTTTCGAAGTAATAAATGTACAAAATGCAGCTTGAGGGTCCCAAAGCTAAGCTATTCTAACACAACAAAGTCAATTAAAATCAAAATACAACACGAAATGACGCTCTTTTATCACAAAGCCAGAATACTTAATAATACAATAATCACATTCTTCTAGTAAGTGTGTTATCAACAATCCTAACCTTAAACTTCACCTTCCTAAAATTCTTAAGCAACTAATGGTAATAAACCACAGATTACAATGAAATACGTCACGAATTTCTATTCGTGCACACAAAACATCACTATAAGGAACAATAATTTAAACTGAGGGCTTTACAGAATTGAATATAATTTGCAAAAACAAAATAAAATTATATCACATATTTTAAATAAAAATACATACACTTTTAAGGCCGATTCTTAATTACTTCGTGTCCGTTTATCAATGGATATTTTAAAATTCAAATTATAAAGTTTCTATCCAGCTGAACTGATTTGAGTACATTGTGAATCTTTAGGCAAAATTTTGTATTATCACCACACACACACACACACAAAACCAAAAACTAAATATACTTACAACGCTTCCAACCTCACCCAAATAACCATAATTGCTGTCCAAATTCACTGTTTATAGCCACTTGCGAACACAGTACTTGAAACCTATTCAACGATAAATACTCTTTTCATTCTTCATTCCCCGACACTATTTATCACAGATATATACGGTATTTTTCGTGTACTTTGACTGAAAATGGATTATCCAACTTTTCTGTGAATGTAAAACTGAGATTACACCATGGCATCTCTATGAGCTCAATGCTCTTGTTCTCTTGATGGGCAACATAGCCTCCGTGACGTCACTTGGTCACGAGAGCATCACTACCGGTACTGATCGGTAGGATCGGTAGCAGTGGTAGTGATCGGTAGATCGGTAGTGATCGTATAGCGTAATATAGTGATCGATAGTGATCACCCCTGTTCACTACTGACCGATACTGACCATACTGACTATGTGTTTGGCTGCAAGTCTATTGATACAAAATGGTCGCCGCAGGTTTAGACGTTACATTCACTGGTCAAATTAATTATCAATGAGATAGTGGCAGCAGGAGAATAATTACACAGGTCTGCAACCAAAAAACTGCATAGGATATTTTTACTATTTCATATTGATTTTTAGTCACTAAAACCGGAAAAAAATAGTAAAAAAAAATCCATCAAGTCAATTTTTTTTTGCAAAACTCACATTTTTAGTTTAATTTTGCGTGAAATTTCTCTTCAACATGAAATCTGGTATCCTAGTGTTGATTCTAAAAACCATATCCAATAATTATTTCTTACTTTAAAATAATATTTATAAGAGTGAATCTAAAAATAATACAAATAGAAAATGGGTTTGATGGGGGGTGGCAATGGAAGGGGTTGGTAGGGTGGGTTTGGCGGTGTGAGGAGTTAGACGATCATGTCCGAACACATTTACTTTGTAGCGAAAGGTGACGAATGTTAGTAGCTCGGTTGAGCATGTTTGGACATGTTATTTGGGGCCATAGGAATGAGTATAAGCAAGCCTGCTGTCAGATTTGATCATGTCTCAACATGCTAAATAAGTTCAGGATCTTGGTTGATGTATAAGCCACTCAGTTTACATCCTGCATTCAAACGTGACTGTGATTGTATTTTAGCTCTGTATCATGGCTCAAAGAGGTCGTGTTATTTCTCCGGACAACTTTTGTTTTATTTGTGGTGAATACATAGTTAAAAGTCAACAAAGAAACATAAGTGATTTTGTGAAGAAAGTGTATTTTGCGTATTTCAAATTGAAACTTGGGGATCAAGACAAACCTTGGGCTCCTCACAAGGTGTGCAGAAGGTGCGAGGAAGATCTTCGTTTGTGGTTTAAGGGTAAGAAAAACTCATTTCGTTTTGGCATTCCTATGATTTGGCGTGAACAGCAAAACCACACGACTGATTGTTATTTCTGTTCAATAGATGTGAAAGGCTTTAATACAAAAAATAACAAGAAAATATCTTATCCAAACCTTAATTCAGCTATTCGTCCAGTGCCTCATAGCTCTGAAATACCAGTTCCCCTCCCACCTTCCAGTTTGGATGATATACAGAGTGATTCGGAGGACGGAACTATATTACCACCCCAGGATGAATCCAGCTCAGATTTTTCTGTTGATGAGGTACCCCACCCTTTTTCTCAGAGTGAGCTCAATGACTCAGTTAGAGATTTAGGCCTTTCCAAAGATGCAGCCAAATTGCTAGGGTCAAGACTAAAAAATAAAAACTTGCTGTCACCTGGAACATCATTCTCGTGGTACAGACGTAACAGAGGACAACGCTGGTAACATGAAGCAACAGGGAACGGTATAAAAAGCCAGCTGAGCAGTATGTGAGCCAGCGTGTGTGATCAGGAGTGACACAGTGCTGATCGTGAAGTTGCCGAGTGCATTTGAATTGTAGCAGTCTCTGAGTGAATCGTGAACTTGGAGAATACCGGAACGTGTGATTAGAGGCAATAGTGTGAGAAGTTATTGGGAGTGTGTAATACAGTGACACTGGTATAGCTCCTGTATCGTACTGTGAATAAGTGAAGACCATTGAAGATAGAGTGAACACATTATTGTGCAGGGTGTATAAATTGTGTAAACCCGCAACTGTGTTATAAGTATTTGTAGTTATGACTTGTAGGTTGTTAAATAAACAAATTAAAAATCTGAACTGCGTCTTCAGTAGCAAAACACGTTACATTAGTGTCAGAAGTCATGAATGACAGCACAGTGTACCTGAAAACAGATAACAATACCATGAAGTGACACAGGGAAAACTAGTTTCCGTAAACTCGTCAAATTTAGGAACAGATAAACAGCATGAAAACGCAACAGTACTGAGTAACATGATTACAAGGTTTAATTATTTCCTATCAAACTTTTTCATTTTACAGTATCTATTATATAAGACCTCAATTCTTGTCTCGCCTAGAACAGGCATTTGCAGTATTGCTTCCATTTGCTCGAATCTTCTTACACACAGAAAACACTCATATATACATAGAATGGGTCACCTCTAATGCAGCCCCACACACCTGCATTTGTTCGAGTCATGATGGGCAGCAACTCGGCCATTCACAGTGGTGAAAATTTTGTATTGTTGCCTTCTAGGTTATGATACTGTGTACTGTACAGTAAGGGGATATCAGTGTTTCAGGGCGACATACCCAAGGTACCCCATAACTGAGGGCACTGTGTGTCTTTCAAAACACTGATACCCACCCATCAGATTGCAATTTCTCCATTATGCAAGCAAACATGTCAGTTGTGTTATTTTCAGTTTCCCGTAGATCGAAAGATAAGTAAGAATCAGTGTTCACTCTGCTCCTGCTTATTAAGACATCATCGATTTTCAAGAACAAGAAGATCAGCCAAAGAAGTGTGTTCCATGTCTGGAAGGCAAAATGACAGATAAGCCTTTCCTACAATCAAAGAACAAACGGTCAAAAGAATACTTCATCTATTGCATTTAGATCTGGTTGGACCATTTGAAGTACCCTCTTATGGGAATGCTAAATATTTTTTGACTATTGTGCATGATCATAGTAGAAAAATCTTCATTCGTTTCATGAAACAAAAGGGTGACACATGTGAAGCCTTTAAAGAATTTATGAAAATGGTTGAGACAGAAACTGGATTGACAATAAAAGCTGTTCATTCTGATAATGGTGGTGAATTTTGAGGCAAATTATTCAATGAAATGTTAAATCAAAAGGGAATTCTCTGTGCCGTATAATCCACAACAAAATGGAACTGCCGAAAGAGCTAATCGCAGCATTTTAGAAAAAAACATGATGTATGTTGTATGATTCTGGCTGCAACAAAAGATACTGGACTGAAGCAGCTCAAACAGCCATATATCTTTTAAACAGATCACCTCACAGGACACTAAAGAATCAATTGCCTGAAGAAATATGGACAGGAGAAAAGATTGATCTCTCCCGTATAAAAATTTTTGGATGTCCAGCGTATGCACATACAAGTATACCATCACAGAAACGCTAAAAACTGGATGCTGTGAGCAAGAAATGCATTTTTATGGGATATAGTGAGGAAGGTAAAGCTTATTGGTTATCAGATCCCACAATCCGTCTCAAATAGTTAAGGCAAGAGATGTAGAATTTCTGGAAGAAGAAATCATAAACAAGAAAGAAAGTGAGAAAGGATTTCAGCTTAAAGACATTCTTCCAATGTCGTTAAGTTTTTGCCTTGACTCACAAGATGAAACAATGATTCCGCAAGGACAGAACCCTGAAGAAGAACAAACCCAAAGGTAAGGATAAGGTGAACAATAATAATCATAACAATCAGCATAAGCAAAAATTTAAGAGCAATCAGTCTTCTAAATCAGTTAATAGTACTGATGAAAATAAAGGAGAACCCGATCATAGGTGTAATGAAAATAAATGGAAAAGTAAGACCAGTAAGTCTGCCCATCATGTTAAAGTTAAGGATGATACTTGGTTAATAGACTCTGGTGCTTCGCACCATATGACCGGAAATAAGACTATTTTGCAAAATTATAAAACACATGATTCTAAGTAACATGAAATAACCCTTGCTGAAAATAACAGGTTATGGGCCCAGGATCGTATCATTGATAAGTGTAAAAAGTATAAAAGTGAAAAGTTTTATTTAAAAGTGATCCTTTGGACTGACGCCGCTATCAAGACAAAGAAACAAGTTTCATCATGGCCACTTCGAAGTTCTTTGCAAATATTGATAGGCTCAAAGGACGCAAAAATTATAGAGAATGGTGCTTCGATATTCAAAATATTCTGGTGATTGAAACTGTGTGGTCAGCAGTCCAAGGATATCCTGGAGAAGACACAACGTCAGTATCCATCAAGAAACAAAAGGACGAGAAAACAAGAGCCATCATTTGTCTGACATTGGAGACCCAAGTTAAATCTTACGTCGTCCAGACAACTACAGCAAAGGAAGCCTGGGACTCATTGGAAAGAACATTCAAAGATCAGGGAGTCAATAGTTGGATAAGTATTTGAATTGATTTGTGCTCTTTGAAACTTGAGGACTCTAAAAGCATGCAGGAATATGTTAATGCCTTCATGTCAATAAAGCTTAGATTAGTCTCAATGGAAAAAAAAAAAATAGAAGATGAGCTATTAGCCGCATTAAAGTTAAAGGGTTTAACTAAAGAGTATTATCCCATGCCTATGGTGCTTGAAAACTCCAACGTAACTTTGACTAGTGAGCTCATATTTAACTCCATAAATCCATACAGTATATACTTTAACACATTTAAAACTGTTAAAATTCTAATTTCTATATTCAAATTTATTATTTATTCATTCATTCATTTATTTCATTTCTGTTACTCCAGGCTGGTAAAACCATAGGATATAGAGGAAGTCAATGAACAATCAGTCATAAAAAGCTTCTGTCAAAATTAAATATAAGATTAACAAGCAAATATAAATATTACAAGGTGTAATGCCGCTAAGGTTACGTACATGTAGATATAGTTTTTGGAAAAAAATTGGAATAATAGTAACTAGACTGTAAGATTAAGAAACAGCCATGATGAAACAATTCAGGAAGCTTAGGTCTACAAAGAATTGTAACAGGGAATGCCTGAGTCATTAGAATGCTAACCCGGCAGTGTAATAGCGCTGACATTGAGGAAGAAGCTATATGAAGTGGGTCATAAACACTATGGCAGGAGGAAAACGCTGAGTCGGAGGAGGCGGTAGACCCGAAAGAGTCAACCCCTTCTCGAGGGGCAACCAATGAGGGAGGCCAAAATCACGTCAGAATGGGCAGGCAACCTACCCGGAACTC